CAGAGCTCATTCGATTGTATCAGGCGCTTCATTCAACAGCATTCCTCATCCCAATGGACGGTGGAGGTGATAGCTCTTGGCGAGGCGCAGCTTGAGGGTCTCAAGACGACCCTGGTCGAGGCGGACTCGCGGTATAGAGCCAGGTCCAATGCGGATTGGCGCCCCTGGTTGACCGCTGGCCTGGACAAGGGGGCCAAAAGGGTCCACATCATCACCCAAGACCCTTCGCCCTGGAGGCCGACGACGACGTTTGCGGCGGATGGCTCGGTGGTGGCTGACCCGCTGTCCTTGCTCGCTAAAGAAAGAGACAAGTTCAGCAGTTTCTGGGGCCAGGCCTCTGGAGAGGTCAAGAGTGTGACGCTTGTTCAAGCGCTTCCTCGGGCCACTCCTGACAAGCTTCGAGCCGTGTCCAAGCGATACAAGGCGGGCTCGGCTGTCACTTATGACGGTTTTGACTGCAGGCACGCCCACTTGCTTTGCGACGGCGGTCTCACTGCTGTGGCCATGCTTTTTGAGTTGATGGAGTCGGTTGGAGTGCTGCCTCGACAGGTTTCTGCTGTCTTGATCGCCCTCCTCAGCAAGCCGACAGGCGGCTTCAGGCCGATAGGGGGTGTTTTGCTCCTGGTACAGGGTGTGGGGTCGTCTCAGGCGGCCCCGCGCCCTGGACTGGGAGCGACAACGCCCCCGTCGGTACTGGGCCGCAGGGGCTTTCAGAGGAGCGTCTGATGTGGTGTGGCGCCAGTCAGTCCGAGCTGAGTCAGGCACGGCTCGGAAGCTGTGCCAGCGATTTTTTTATGACATGCTCAAATAGTATGAAACGATCAACTTGGATATGCTGGAAGATCGATGTCGTCGTCATAACTTTCCTGAAGTCATCACTCGGTTGTCGATCCATGCTTGCAGGTGCGGCCGTTTCATCTCTGTTGCTGGCGTGCTGGACGGTCCCTTTTTCGTGATCAATGGTGTTGTTGCTGGATGCAGCTTTGCGACATCGCACATCCGAGTTTTCGCGATGGATGCGTTTGACCAGCTCCCTCGGCACAAACAGTTAGAGTTCGATGCGTACATCGATGACACGGGTGTTTCGAGCACGGGCAGTCACAAGCAAGTCGTCCATCATACCTCTTCGACCTCTATCATGCTACATCATGTCATCACCAATGACATGGGTTGCCAGCTGTCTCTTGATAAAGTTTGCACGGTTGCCTCCAGCAAGAAGCTGGCTAGTGACTTAGCCATCTCTCTTGGTCAGTTAGGGGGTAGAGTGCGCGATTCCACTGTCAACCTGGGCGTTGATTTTTGCGCGGGCCGATCGGCCCGAGCTTCGGGCAGGAACTCTAAGATGAAAGCTAGAGCTGCTCTCATGTGTCGCAAAGCTAGGCGGCTCAAGAAGCAGTCGGAGCATGTTGGTCGAGCGGCCCTCAGGATCTTCGCGGCTGGCCCCCTCGCTGGAGGGGCCTGCGGAGCGGAGATCCTGGGGGTCAGCGACCAACAGCTTCTCTTGATGAGACGCCAAGCTTTTTCGACCGTGCGCCCTTTCGCCAAGAGCCGCTCTCTCACTGCTGTCAGCATTCTCTCGGAGGATCCCTGCTGGAGATCGGCCAGTGCCCCGATACTTCGATGGAGTAAAGAGATATGGATCACTCACACGAGGATATTTGATGGCTCCCTCTCCTTCGAAGACCTTCGGTCTGCGTGGAATGCCGTGTTCTCGCTGGATAGGGTCACGTGGCCCACGGTCAAGGGACCGCTCTCTGCTCTCAGGCTTTCCTTGCTCCGTCTTGGGTGGATGACGACCAACTTCATGACTGTGGTGGACGATAGGGGTTATCAGATTTCCCTGGGCCTCACCTCCCCCAAGTTGCTCGAAACGCTTTGCAAGGGCGCTTTTTTGAGAAGTCTGGAGCGGGACTTGGGAGGTAAGTGGGATGTTGGGAAGCGCTTGTGTTTGGATATCCCCAAGTCTGCATGCTCTTCCAAGAAGTTTACCCCAGCCCAGCTAGGTTGGATTCGTGCGTGCACCAGCTGCGCCATATGGACAGCGGATCGTGCTCTCAGTGCAGGATGCGACGTGGACCCGCTTTGCCCCGGGTGTCGGGCCGCCCCCGACTCCATCGCCCACAGGCTGTGGAGCTGCCTTGACGAGGAGGTCTCAGAGTTGAGAGCTCAGTTGGCCCCCGCCTCTGTTGCTGCTGACGCCCTAGCGGCCCTGTCAACTGAGGCCATCTGTGCGGATATATGCCTATACACTCGAGGGGCTTTCGCCCATCCCCGCCGACTGGCTCCCAAGGCCAGCTCAAGAGGGAACGAACTCCCTTCAGTACATTTGGTACTGCAAAGAGCTCATCAGCCCTGAGGGCCCTAGGGCCCCCGCCAATGGAGAAATGTGGGGTCACCTCTTCATTGACGGGTCCTGCCAGCGCCACCCCATTAGAGAGCTCTCGAGGGCCTCTTGGGCTGTCTCAATGAATTCGGACGATGGGGAGTGCCTTGGAGAGGTTCGAGGCCCTGTCTGGGCCCACTACCCTCAGACCCCACAGGCCGCTGAATTCTCAGCTAGGTGTGCGGTTGCCCAATTTATGATTTTTCATTCGGTCCTCTACTCCGATTGCGCCAATGTTGCGCATCAGAGCGGGCTCCCCGAGACGGAAAGATACTCGGGGAAGCGCACTTATTCGGGCATGATCCTGCAGGCCAGCTCCTGTGAAGGCCAGCTTGTAGAAGACATCGTGAAGGTCAAGGCTCATCTCAGTCTGGAAGAGGAGGGCCTTTCTGCTCGTGAGAGGCTTCTCCGCAAAAGGGACTCAGATGCTGACATTGGGGCCAAGCACGGCCTTTTGCTCCACCCGTCTGCCCCTGAGGAGATGGAAGAAGTGACTCGTCTGGTGGATGCGGCCCGTGCGTATTGCATTCTAGCTGCCAACCTTCTGCCGCTCTGGCCGAAGTTGCCCCTCGATGTGCCGCGCACCCCACCTGAGCTCGCCCCCTCTTCGAGCCCCCCCCCCGCCCTCGTGCCTCACAAGTGGGAGCGATGGAGCGACATTTGGAGGTGTGCTGTCTGTCTACTGGGTCGCCGCGGGGCAGGGAGTTGCCCGCCTCCAGGGCGATGTGGCTTTTTCCAAGTTGCATGCTGCCAAGCAGCAAGCGTTGGACCACCGCACGGTGGGTTTCGATTGCTCCGACGGCTCGGTCCTGTTCATTTGCCTACGTTGCAAGTGCTACTCTTCAGGGGCCTCAGTCAGAGGCCTTGGAGGAAACTGTGCTCCCCCGCCGTCGCGTGCAGCTAGATATGGTTGGCGATATCTGCTTCGCGGTGACCACCCTCACTACTCCAAGAGGAAAGAACGGGTCACAGTCGACCTTGACAACTGCATGGCCTGTTTCGACTCGTATGTCTTTGAGGGCGTCGATAGACCGTCTGGAGTGGGTGGGGACTCGGTGGGTGAGACTGACGGGGGGAAAGAGGAGTGCGTGCACCGTCCTTGCGATGGCAAGGACGATCTGTCTGCTGCAGCAAGTTCCTCCCTTCGAGAGGGGCCCATATGCGTGCGGAGTCGGCTAGAGGCCGAAGAGGACGCAGCCCCGCAGCCTCCCTCTCAGGGACCACTTCTAACGCCTTTCTTCCTGGCGAGACGCCGCCAGGACGAGTCGGACAGCTCAGATTGATTTCTCTGTGGCGCAGGGCCGCCATTCCGTCTTCGTATAGTTTGCACGGCCCGATGCGACTGACCCCTTTGGCAGGCATCCGTGCTTAACCCCACATCTGGGGCAAGTCCGTCGGTCGTCCTGGCGCTGGCTGCACCAAGGGCTGCGGGCTCGTCGTCCTTTTGTGGGTGGTCGAGTTTTCCCTGTGGCGAGGGTACGCCTTCTTTTTTCTCTCTTCTGCACGGCCCGATGCGACTGACCCTTTTGGCAGGCATCCGTGCGTTACCCCACATCCGGGGCGAGTCCGTCGGTCGTCCTGGCGCTGGCTGCACCAGGGGCTGCGGGCTCGTCGTCCTTTTGGTGGGTGGTCGAATATGTTCTTTGGCTGTTTGTTCGCTCTCTCGTTGCGTGTGCGTCGTCGTGCACGAGTGTCAGGCACCCCATCTCTGGGGGAAGGTACGCGCACATCTTGGGTGCACCTCTTCTTGTTCCGAGCACGGGGATGACTCCATCCTGACCGTGGCTCGGCTGGTGTTGCTGTGGCCTTGAGCGTAGGTTCAGGGCCCCAACATCCCCTCTTTTGGCGTTGGGCGTGCTTCTCGTGCGTGTGTGCGTTGCGCGTCCCACGGTCTCTGCCCTCCGCGACTTGGTGCCATCGCGGCCCTCGTGGCAGGGCGCTGTCTCGTCCGTTGTCCCTCTTGCACAGCCGAAGGCAGTCGGCACGAGACAGCGTTCCAGTTGCAGTTTCCCTGCTGCTGGATGTTTTTGCGCTTGCAGCTCGGGGTCTCCGCGGTCACGTGTGCCTGCCCCTTCTCTTAGAGATGTTGTGGCAGGTGCACATAGTGCTTGGGCACCGTCGTGTGGCCTTGGCCTCGAGCTGACCCTTTGGCGCTGATTGGAAGAGGTCTCAGGCGACTGTGTCTAACTTTGGCACAGTTGTCTGCCTCTGTCCTCACAGCTTGCAGGTCCCGCCCTGCCAGCTGGTTGCACTATGCGGTGGATCTGTAGAGGTCAAAAAATCATCTGTAGATAAGGCCCGCGCCTTCTAAGAAGCAGGGGTGCTTCTAAGAAGACCTTCCCCCTCCCCCCACTCCCCTCTGCGCGTGGCTGAAGGAGGGAGGAGGGAGGAGAGGAGGAGAGGAGGAGGGAGGAGGAGGAGGGAGGAGGGAGGGAGGGGGAGGGAGGGAGGGAGGGAGGAGGAGGAGGAGGAGGAGGAGAGGAGGAGGAGGAGGAGGAGGAGGAGGAGGAGGAGGAGGAGGAGGAGGAGGAGGAGGAGGAGGGAGGAGGAGGAGGAGGAGGAGGAGGAGGAGGAGGAGGCGGAGGCCGACGGGGCCCCCGTGGGCCCCGGGCAGGACCAGCCGCGCCCGCTCCGCGCCGCGCCCGGCCCGCCCGCGGGCGCGCTCCGCGAGGTGGCGCCCCCAGCTCCTGGAGGCGCGGCCGCCGCCGCCGCCGCCGCCGCGCGCGGCCCGGGGAGGGACGGAGCACCGCCCGAGGGGGGCCAAGATGGGGGACACGAACTCTCTATACCCCTCCTCCTCCTCCTCCTCCTCCTCCCTCCTCTCCTCTGCTCTTGCTCCTCCTCCTCCTCCTCCTCCTCCTCCTCCTCCTCCTCCTCCTCCTCCTCCTCCTCCTCTGGTGGGCGCGGTGCCGCGTGCGCCCGGCACGGGCGCGCGCGCGCGCGTCCGGGGGAACGAAAGGGGGGGATGGCAAAAGGCAGGGTCGAGAAGCGCCTCCCGGCGCCAGGAGGCGCCGGGAGGCGCCCATGGATCGAGGAATGGGCCGGGCGGCGGGGCCGAAACCAGCTGCATGCAGCAGATTTCGTACCCCCCCCTTTCCCTATCCCCCCCTTTCGTTCGGCCCGAGCGCGGCCCGGGAGGAACGGAGCACCGCTGGGGGGACCAAGAGTGGCATAGACAGAAAGTGGCATAAACATAGAACCTCACTGAAACCCCCATCGCTAACGTTGATCCGTTGGGAGGGGGCATTGACAGGTGAGTGCGGAAGGAGTGTTCGATCGTTCCTTCCGAGGCCTGTAACGGAGCACAGCCGGGGGACCAAGATTAGGGAAAAGGAGCTCTATACACCGACGCTGCTCCGGACCCTGCGTTGAAGTTCGCACAGGAGCGCGGATCCTGGTGTAGACGGGCCGCTGCTCGTCCTGGAGAGTCCTCGTCGCCACGGCAAGATTCTTCTCGACATTCTGGTCAGAGCGCACCCCTGAAGAAGTCCGTGGGTAGCCAAGAGGGGGGTGTCCAAGTGGGGGGGGGGTGCAAATCATGACCGGCGGCATGTGCACGGCCCAGCGGGGGGGCCAGGGACGTAATGAAATAAGAAGAGGCGCCATGAAATCTGGGGAAATATCATGGCCCCCGCCATGATATCCCCCCCCCCCCCTAGTCATCACCCCCCTCTTTTCCGCCCCCGACATAGGGGTGTCAGCTCGCTCCCCCCCTCAACAAAAACTGGCACAAACGTAAGCACAACCTGTCGGCGGTCCGCGCGGAGCTCTCGGTTCGGCGCGGGACCCCCCCCGCCCGCGGGGCGCGGAGCGCGGCAGCGGCGGCACCGGAGACGCCGTCCCAGCGCCGAGCTCCGAGAGATCTGCCCGCGAGGCTCCAGAAGTAGCAGCTCTTTTCGCAGGGCAAGGTCAGCGGCCACAATCTCTGCCTCAAGGGTACTATGGGAAACGCACGTCTGTCGCTGAGATCCCATAGACTGCCCAGCTCGGGTGTATGGGCCCCAAATTGCTTGATATGTTTTCGCAGCGCTCTTCACTCTCCGGCGCTCGGCCCCGCGGGAGGCTCGAGGCTCGACGATCGGGCGCAGCCGAGGGCCCGCCGCAGGCCTCCCCCAGGGGAGGGGGCCCCCCCTGGCCGCCGCGGAGGGAGACCCGCGCCGAGGCTGTGCGCGGCAGGCGCCCCACGGAGAGGCCGGCGGGCTCGTCGCCGCCGTCGCCGCCGCCGCCTCCGCCTTCGCCGCGGTGCCTCCCCGCGGCTGCGACCCAGACGCGTCCGGCGCCGTGTTCGCTTCGAGGCCCGGGGGCGGCGGCTGCTCGCCCCGGATCAGTTAGTTCTCCGCTGCTCCGAGGGTGGGGGCGGGCGGCGGGTCCACTTAAGAGGGCGAGGTCGAGGGAGAAGTCTCTCCGTCGACGGCGAGGCAGAGGCGGGCCGCTCCAGCGCGTGGCTGCTCGGGGCAGCCGAGGAGGCTACTGCTGTCTGGCGTGCAGGAGGGCGGGAGAAGACGAGGGTTTCCGCGCTGGGGGGCAGGGGGAGGGGAAAGCGCTCGGACGCGGAAGAGGTCCGCGTACAGTCGGACTTGAATAGGCAGGACACGCGAGAGGACACAAGACCCTTCCCGAGGCTCCGAGGGCCACACTGCCATAGCAAGGTACGGAGGCATGGGACGCGAGACACGGGACACAAAGGTTCCCTTGTTTGGGCAGGGTCGACCTACTCATCCGGGCCGACTGTAGTCGAGGAAAAGGAACTATGCACATGCACCGATTCCGGCCAGGCCCATCCTGAGCCCAGGATCGGTGCATCTGCCCTCCTGCCGTGGCCAGGAAAGCATATGCACCGATCCTGGGTCAAGGATGGGCCTTGCCAGGATCGGTGCATGTGCATAGCCGCCCGACGCAGAGCAGGCCCTGACTCCAGATCCGCCCTACTTTGGCTTTTTTTCCAACTTACAATTGCGTCGGAAATCCACCTATAAGGAGCCGAAAAAGTAGGGCGGAAATTTCTGCACCCAACATAAAATAGGGCGAGCATCCACAGAAGTAGGGCGGAAACAACAACAGAAAAATAGGGCGGAAATTGGCATCAGCGGGGCTTGAAACGTAAGGCGGAAATTCCAAGCCCTCCTTACGAATTTCCCCAAAGTAGGGCGGATCCGGAGTCAGGGATAGCTCTTCGCCCGACGCAGGAGCAGGCCGGAGCGAGACCGACGAGGAACGCGCCGGGGGCGGACGAGAGCGGATCGCGGGAGCTCCGGGAGCGGATGGGGAGCGAGAGCGTCGCGCGGCGAGCGTCGCGCGGCGAGCGTCGCGCACGCCGCGCGCTCGGGAGAGAGGCCCGGGACCTCCGAGCGCTCTGGCTCGTGTGGGCGCGGGGGCGTCCCGGGGCGCGGGGGCGTCCCGAGCTCTCGGCACCGCCACTGCCCGCGGTTCCCCCGCCGTCCGCAGGCATTGGGCGTGGCTCAATGGGGGGGTCACAAATGGGGGGGTCAGAAAAGGTCCCCTTTCGTGCCCCTTTCGGGCCCCTCCAGAGCCCCAGGGGGCTCGTTTAGGTACTGTTTGGGTACCTTTTCGGACCACGCTCGCCACCCCCCCATTTATGACCCCCCCATTACGCGGCGCCCAAAGGCACACGTCAGCACTCCTCCAGTTGGTGCCAGGCCCAGACATCTGGACGTCTGGGGGCCGCTCCAGGCTTCGAAGCAGCTGGCCGTGCTGGCTTTTGCAGCATGCGGGCCGTGGGGGAGGGTACCCAGGGGGTCCTCTCAAAAGCGGGTGCCAGAGTCACAAACCCTCGCGCCCTCGCACCCTGCATCAGCCCGTGTAAAATCGGCCTTGTGTTCACGTTCGATCTAGCACTCTCTCCCTCTCTCTCTCTAGATTATATTTATATCTGTCTCTCCGTCTCTCTCTCTCTCTCTCGCTACCTCTTTCTGTCATTATGCGTGTATGTCTCTGTGTACATTGCGAGCCACGACCTCTTCCTCTTCCCCCTCTCCTGCTCCTCCTCATACTCCTCCCCTGGGACTGGGTATGTATATATATATATATATATACATATGGAAGAGAGAGAGAGAGAGAGAGAGAGGATGTGCATACATGTGTGTACATTTTTATTTTTTATATATATATATACATTTTATACCTGTGAACTTACAAAGAAAAGCCCGGCATATCACCGTCACCCCCCCGCCCGGTACCCGCACACGAACCCCAAACCCCCTCCCCGGCGCCTCGAAGAGGCCCCAAGACGGCCCAAGAGGCCTCCAAGACGGCCCCAGGAGGCCCCCAAGATCGTCCAAGAGGGCCCCGAGACGCACAAAGATCGCTCCACAACGCCCAAGACAGTCCCAATATGGCCCAAGACGCCTCCAAGACGCCCCGACAGGCGTTCAGGAGGCTTCCCAAGAGGGCCCCAAGAGGCAAACATGATTGTTTTTTGTCATCGGTTTTTGAAGGTTTCTTTGGGTCTCGCGTTTTCGGCTTCCCGACGCTCCAAGACAGCCCAAGAGGCCCCCAAGAACGCCCCAAGACCGCCCAAGTAACCCCCGAAACAGCCCCAAGACGGCCCCAACGGGCCCCAAGACAGCCCAAAAGGCTTCTGAGACGGCCCAAAAGGGCCCCAAGACGGCTCTAAGAGGGAGCCCAGACGGGGGATCCGAACGGACTTTTCGAGCTTTGGCCCCAAGAGGCGCCAAGAAAAGCCCTGGAGGCCCCCAAGAGGCGCCCAAAGGCCCCCACGAGACTCCCAAGAGGCCCCCGAGCGGTCCCCGAAAGCCGCCCCAACGGCCCCCACAGGCACCGAAACCAAACCCGGCCCCAAGAGGCTTCCGAAATGCTTCCAGGAGGCCCCCAAGAGACCTGCCCCCAAGATCCTCTAAGAAAGCCACGAGGCGCACAAATATCGCCCCACGACGCCTACGATAGTCCCAATACGGCCCACGACGCCTCCAATAGGCCCCGAGAGGCATCCAATAGGGTTCCCAAGAGGGCCCCGAGAGGCAAACATGGTTGTTTTTTTTCGTAGGTTCTCCACGCTTCCCGACGCTCCAAGACAGCACAAGATTCCTCCAAGATCGCCCCAAGACCGCCCAAGTAACCCCCGAAACAGCCCCAAGACGGCCCCAACGGGCACCAAGACAGGCCAAGAGGCCTCCAAAACGGCCCAAAAGGGCCCCAAGACGGCTCTAAAAGAGAGCCCAGACGGGGGATCCGAACGGACTTTTCGGGCCCTCGGCCCCAAGAGGCTCCCAGGAGGCCCCAAGAAAGGCCCTGGAGGTCACCAAGAGACTCCCAAAGGCCCCCACGAGCCCCCCAAGAAGCTCCCGAGCGGTCCCCAAGAGCCCCCCAAACGGCCCCCACAGGCACCGAACCGGGCCACAAGAGGCTTCCCAAATCCTCCCAGGAGGCCCCCACGAGACCTGCCACGAGCTCCGAACGAACTGTCCAGATGCTCCCATGAAGAGCCCCGGACGCCTCCAGGACAGCTTCAAGCGCGCTCCAAGGCCTCTCAAGATGGCTCCAAAACGACTGCGGATGGCCAATTGCCGTCGCCGAGTACGTTCGTCGTCGTTGCCACCGCAGTCGTCGTCGTCGTCGTCGTCGTCGTCGTCGTCGTCGTCGTCGTCGGCGGCGGCGGCGGCGGCGGCGGCGTCGTCGTCGTCGACGTCGTTTTCGTCGTCGTCGTCGTCGTCGTCGTCGTCGTCGTCGTCGTCGTCGTCGTCGTCGTCGTCGTCGTCATCGTTGTCGTTGTCGTCATCGTCGTCGTCGTCCCAAAACGGCCCTAGAGCGCTCCAGTACAGCCCAAGCGGGCGCCTAGATGACCAGAAAAGGGCCCCAAGCAGATCCCCAATCAGGCCTACCGAGGCCAACTTCATTAACTTCCGCATCAACGGGGTCCTCTCGCCGCCACTGAAGAAGTCCGAGGGGCGCAGAACGAGATCATAACCTGGACCCGCTGTTGATCAGGCCTGCACGAAGACGACGACGATGACGACGACTACGACGACGACGATCTGGACCGCAGCATCACTAGAGACACGTCGGTGCAAGGATTAAGATTAGAAGGCGAAGCGCAGCGAGCCTTAACATCTTGTGTACATACATATATAGATCTAGATGTGTGTATGCATGCCTGCCCGTTGTGTTAATCCCCACTCCTCGCTCCTCCTCCAAGTCCTCTTCCTCAGATCATCACCCTTCTTTTCCCCTTCTGCATGGCCCCCCCTCTCCTCGAATTTGCCTCATCCTTGCATCCAGCCGTTCATCACTTCTGCTGCTCCTGCTCCTCCTCCTCCCCACCACAACCACTCCAACCAACACTGCCGTCATCATCTTCATCAGCATCTTCATCATCAGCATCACCATCGTCATCGTCATCCGCATCATCATCAGCATCATCAGCATCATCAGCATCATAATCATAATCATAATCATCATCATCATCATCATCATCATCATCATCATCATCATCATCGTCACCATCTTCATCAGCATCGTCGTCATCGTCATCATCGTCGTCATCGCCATCGTCGTCGTCGTCATCGCCACCATCACCACAATCATCATCATCAGCATCAGCATTATATTATCAACAGTGTGATCATTGTCGTCATCATCGTCGACACCACCATCATCATCGTCGTCGTCGTCGTCACCAGCATCATCATCAGCATCATCATCAGCATCATCATCAGCATAATCGTCGTCGTTAGCATAATCATCATCATAATCATCGTCATCATCATTATCATCCGCACCGTTGGCGTGTTCGTCATGGGCATCGTCAGCAACATCAACATAACCATCAACATCGCCATCAACATCACAATCACCATCACCATCATCATAAGCCGCATCACAATCCTCACCCTCATTACTTACGCAGGCCGAAAGATTTTCCTCTTGAGCCCCACATGTCGGAAGCGACGCGCCGATCCCTTCTGTTCTCCTCCCACCTCCTCTTGCCTCTTCCCTCATTCTTGCCCTCTTCATCCTGGGAAGACCCCCCTCCTCCGTAGAATCGTAGCATTGGTCTGCAGATCCACAGTTCCGTGGATAGCATGATGCTTCACTTGCGGTGCTCCGCGGATCCCATTTCCCCTGGGTCCCGGATGTTTATCATTATTAGTATTATTATGATATAGTTATTCCTGGGATATAAATGGATCCATCGTTTTTCACACACAGGAAATTGGATCCGCGCAACACAGAAATAGGATCCACGAAACTCTCCCACACCCGACAAGGGATCCAATTGGATCCATTGATGTTCTCATATTTTTAGTCCAAGAGGAACAACTTTCGGCCTGGGGATGTATCATCCTCATCCTCCTCATCAACATCCTCATCATCATCGCCCGCCCCCTCTTACTCCAATCCCATTCTCTTGCGGAAGAGAAACAAAGGGGAGAAGGTCCTCGGTACCGTGAGAGCTCGCGCTCTTCCCCTTCCTCCTCCTCCTCCTTCTCCTCCTCCTCCTCCTCCTTCTTCACCTCCTGCTCCCTCTCCTCCTTCTCATCCTCCTCCTGCTCCTCCTCCTCCTCCTGCCGCTCCTCGTCCTCCTCTGAACCCTGACCCTGTCAAACGTTCACGGTCGCCAGTTGCTGTCCTGTTGAGCCGCTACGTTCTTGTGGCCTTCCTTGCATCGGGGCTTGGGCCCAAACCTCGCCTGGCCACCAGAGGTGGGCCCTCCCCCCGGCTGCTGCAGGCATGGGCCCTGGCACCCGCCCGGCAGCGGTGAGCCTGGCTCGCGCCCCCGAGGACCGAACCGAATATCCTCTGGGTGTAGAACAGAAAGCTTCGCCACCACAACCACCGGGCCCGTGTGCCCACGCTCTCGCAATCTAGATTCCGGGGCGCGATCCCGTGGATCCGTCCCGTGGGGACACCCGCGAGCAACCACGCCTCGTACCCTCCTCCGCCTTTCCCACCCTCCTCCTCCCCTTCACCCTCCCGCTCTTCCTCTTGACGTCTCCTGTTCCTCCACTGGGGAGACAGAAAGATACCGATACCGCTACTCTCCAAACCTCTCCCGGATTGCGTTCTGACCAGTTTGGAGGTGAATCTTGCCGCGGCGACGAGGGCAGAGGGTAGCGGCATCGACATCTCTTCCTCCCTTGATCCTCCTCCTCCTCCTCCTTCTTCTTCTCCTCCCCCTCACTCCTTCTTCTTCTTCTCCTCCTCCTCCTCCTCCTCCTCCTCCTCCTCCTCCTCCTCCTCCTCCTCACCCCCCCTCACCCTTCTCCCCCTGCCCCCCCTCGTCGGCCGCGGTCGCCGCCGCCTCCGCCGCCGTCGCCGCCGCTGTCGCCGCCGACCTCGACTCGAGGGCCCCTCTGCTCGGGCGAGGTGCCGGCGCCGCCCGCTCGCACACCGGGCCTCTTGTTGCAGGGCACCCTGCAGTCCAGGAGAGAGGAGGGCGGCCGACTCCGATCGGAGGGGGGCCCTCTCCACGCCGGGCGCGCGGACCTAGAGAGAACAAGCAGGCACACACCGCAGCTCCCCTCCCGACGGAGTCGATGACGCCGGCGCCCGAGCAGGTAGGGCCGCAGGACCGCGCCACGCCGCAGATGCATCGTCGCCGTAGCCGAGGGAACGATCGGGGCCCTCCTCGAGACGCATCGCCGAGGCATCGGCGTTGCGGCGCGATCCTCCGACCTCATCTGCTCCGGAGGACGAGGAGGAGGAGGAGGAGGAGGAGGAGGAGAAGGAGGAGGAGGAGGAGGAGGAGGAGCGAGGAGGAGGAGGAGCGAGGAGAAGGAGGAGGAGGAGGAGGAGGAGGAGGAGGAGGAAGAGGAGGAAGAGGAGGAGGAGTCGGCACACTCACTGCCGCCCTGCGAGCGGCGCGCCCGGGCGGCGTCACTCCGCCGCGCTGCCCGCGGCCGAGGCCCCGCCGAGGTCGAGCAGGCGCACCAGGAGGGCGCGCCAGCCGAGGCGCACCACGCCGGAGAGGCCGCCGAGGGCCACCTTGAAGGCAGCGTACGCGAGGCCCTCCTCCGGCGACGGCGAGGGGGCGTGGTCTGCCGAGGGCGTGGCCTGCGACGCGCCCCCCGGGGGGGCCGGCGCGAGGGCCCTCGCCGAGAGAGCCCCCCGCCGCGATCCTCCCGAGGGGGCACGGCGAGGGCAGGCGTGGTGCCCCCCGCGAGGCGCAGATCGCACGCCAGGCCTCGGCGTCGACCACACCCTCCGTACAGTCGCCGCCTCCCTGTTGAAGGGCGGGGGGCGCCAGCGGCAGGCTGTGCGCCATGCCCTCGGAGCCTCCGAAGAGACCTCCCCGCGCGGCCCGTCGCCGCGCCCCTTCGAAGGGGCCTCGGAGGCCGGAGGCAGCAGTCGCCCGGAGCATCCTATAGAGGAGCGGGCCAAGTTCCAAGACCGTGCAGGGCAGTTCTTCAGACATGGGATGCTTTAAACATATAAGATGTGGAATCCATGATTGAGTTATGAGCAAGTTTACGCGTGAACGCATCGCTGTTTTTAGTACCAAACCCCTGCATGTTTGATACATGATCCGCACGCGGAGCATGTATGAAAAACGGCACTGTGCGGCCACATGGAGTCCCAAGTGATCTACCACACGGCGTGGTCACCGCGCCTCTTCGGGGCCCCCGACAGCTGCCCGCCGTGCACCAACCCTGCTCGGGCCAGCCGTGGGCCCAGGGCGGGGTGGCGACACGCACCAGGGTGTGGGCACACGAGGGCGGCGGCCTTCGGACTGGGCGGCGGGGGTGGGGGCTGCTGCTGAGAAGGCGCGGGGGCCTTCTGGGACGGGCCCTGGACCTGCGACGAGCGGGGGGAGATGCGAGAAGGAGGAGGCCTTCTCAGAAGGCTCGGAGGGCCCCAGGCCTTCTGAGAAGGTGTAAACGCCTTCACCAAAGGCACGGGAAACTTCTCAAAGGCGCGAGGGCTTCTCAGAAGTCCCACAGCCTTCTGAGAAGGCCTTCTCCTTCTCACTTCCCCCCTCGCTCGCCGCCGATCGAGGACGGCTTCTTAGAATGCCCCCGCTCCCCCCTCAGAAGGGCCCTCCCAGCTCCCGCCCGCGTGCACGCCAACCTCCTTGCGCCGCCCCTGCGACATCCGAGCACTACTAACCCCCACGAACCATCAACCCTCGGGAATCGACGGGAGGCGGGGGTACGGCTCGGATCTCGCCCTGCGGTCGACGAGCTCCGAACCCCGCCCCCCCCGCCCCAGCGAGCTGCCCGAGGCGCGGCTCTCGGCGAGGGCGGGGCTCGGCCTGCGCCGCCGACACCTCCCCGCGCGCGACGCCCGATCGGCGTGCTGCGCACCCGCCCCCGCCCGCAGCTCCCGGCTTCTGGGCCCGGGCCTGGCCTGGCCAGGGTCGGTCCAGGTGGGAACCCTGTCCGGAGGAGAGAAGCAGGACCAGCCTTACGAGTCGTAAGACGAAGGAAAGAACTGCATCCTCCTCTTCCTCCTACTACTACTACTGCTACTTCCACCTCTAATTCTACTACTACTACTGCTACTTCCACCTCTAATTCTACTACTACTACTACTACTACTACTACTACTCTACTACTACTCTACTACTACTACTACTACTACTACTACTACTACTACTACTACTACTACTACTACTACTACTACTACTACTACTACTGCTACTACTGCTACTACTGCTACTGCTACTGCTACTGCTACTGCTACTGCTACTGCTACTACTACCCTACTCCTACTGACTACTACGACTACTACTGCTGCTGCTGCTGCTGATACTATTACTACTACTACTACTACTACTACTAATACTACTACTACTACTACACTACGACTACGACTACGACTACGAATACTACTACTGACTACCACTACTACTACTAATTACTACTACTACTACTTACTACTACTTACTTACTACTACTACTACTACTGCTACTACTACTACTACTACTACTACTACTGCTGCTGCTACTACTACTAGTACTACTAGTACTAGTACTACTGATTACTACTACTACTACTAATTACCACTACTACTCCTACTACTACTACTAATTACTACTACTACTCTACTACTACTACTACTACTAATAATAATAATTACCACTACTACTACTACTACTACCTACTACTACTACGACTACTGCTACTACTACTACTACTACTACTACTTCTACTACGACTACTGCTACTACTACTACTACTACTGCTACTACTACTACTACTACAACTACTACTACTACTACTACTACTAATTACTACTACTACTACTACTAATTACCACTACTACTACTACTACGACTACTACTACTAATTGCTACTACTACTACTACTACTCTACTACTACTCTACTACTACTACTACTACTACTACTACTACTACTACTACTACTACTACTACTATTACTACTACTGCTACTACTGCTACTACTACTACTACTTCTACGACTACTACTACTACTACTACTACTACTACTTTACTACTACTAC